TAATTCTTTTTAAAATTCTTTAATTAATTAAAAATATAAACCTTCACAGGCATTCGTCAAGTTATCTATTACTATTATTACATTATACCCATCTTTTAAAAGTTTCACAACAATATGACTGCAAATGTATCCTGTACCACCTCTTACAAATATACCTTTCATTATTTTTAAAAATTATTATTATTATTATTATTATGTTCAATGGTTTTCGTCTATTCTATTGACAAGTAGGCTATATTGGTTGCATTTGTCGAGGATTTTGGTAAATGGTGGTGATGTGATAAAGGAAGATTTACTTTATGGACTGTTTTTGTTGTTGTATTAAGTATCTCTTCTCTTTCTGGTGTAAAATAGTTTTTATTTCTTCTTGACGTTGAGACAAGTGAGACCTCAAACAATGGTAGATTATGGTATGAAAGACCAGTGCTAAATTTCATTTCTAAAGCTTTTCAATATTTCATGGAATGTTAAGATAGGAAAACGAAAGAGTATGGAAAGTACAAAAGTTTGAAAAAAAAATATATGGAATATTTAGGGCTGTGTACGGTTTCTCGGTTTCTGCACTTTTATGCTGCGTGGACTTATTGTATGAAAGATAGAACTGCAATAAATATTTTATGATATTTATTAAACAAATGTTTTATTACCTTTTAAAGAATTAATACTAATTTAGTAAAGTTTCTAGATTATCAAATTATAAAGATTTATTAATTCCCGATTTAATATTTGACTAATTCACGTGAATCACTAATTCTAATTGTTTGGAATAATTTCACCCAAAAATATATTTCGATCTGTACTGCATGATGCAACTAAGATAAAAATAAAATAAAAATAAATAAAATTTATTATTATTATTATTATTATTATATTATTATATTTGTTATGATTATTATTATAATGATTATGTACTTACTAATAGGTTCCTTTGGATGAAAATCAACTTCATTGACAGATCCTTTATGTCCAGGCAATTTATAGAGAATTCTGCGAGATGAAACATCCCAAATGACTACCGTTCGATCACTACTTCCCGCCGCTATTTGAGATCCATCAGAAGACCATGCAGGCTTAATAAGGTTTTTTTCAAATCCATGTGGAGCACCTGAGAAATAA